CCGAGCATTTGACAATGTAACATAGTAGTACTAATAGAGGGCCCCGTATAGTGTGAAAAGTTGAAGGAATGTTTTCCCGCTCGGGTCTGTGTGTGTGTGTGTGTGTGTGTGGATGGATGGACGGATAACGAGACGGTGTGTGTGTGTGTGTGTGTGTGGATGGATGGATGGATAGCGAGACGGAAGGGAGAGGATGCCAAGGTGGAGAGAGAGAAGAGAGAGGAGAGAGAGAGAAGGATTGTGGAGGGAAAAAGGAAGGTTGGCAGTTTGGGTAGCATTGAAGCGAAGTGAATAAAAAGCCGGTGCGAGTAGTGGGGCGGGCGGAGATGTAGAAACAGTAGGAGGGTAGGATGGGAAGTAGGCTCCAAGCACAGTGACAAACTGAAGTCGAACACGTGTAAGCAAGCAAGACACTCAGCAGTCATGGGGGGATAGAGGGAGAAGGGAGATGTGGGATTTTTTTTTTTGTTTTTTTTTTTTGGTTTTCGATGCAGTAATTGTGATTTTTCTCGATTTCTCTCGATTTTTCTCGATTTTTCTCGATTTTTCTCGATTTTTCTCGATTTTTCTCGATTTTTCTCCAAGCACAAGTTATGCTCGTCCGTCGCGCCATCCATTCAAATTGGGACAAAACAGAGATGACGAGGATTAAAAAAAAAAAAAAAAAGGTTGCGTGCTCGATGCTGCGTCCGTCTTTTTTTTTTTGTGTGTGTTTTGATGCTGCGTCTGTCGTCAATAAGCATGATGAGGATTGTTTTTTTTTTTTGAAAATTTTTGAAAATTTTTCCTTCCTTTGTTCCCCTGTTGTTGGTGTTTTTGTCATTGTGGGTTGTGATTTTGTCAATTATCTATCTCAGCGAAAATCTGGTCGTGTTTTTGTTGAAGCCTCTGCTTACGTCAACTCTGTTCGAGGAAGGAGGTCAAGGAACATTCCTAAGGGCGTTCTCACACTGCCTCTATCTTAACTCAAGTTAAATGTATCTGACCGCATTTACAGTCGAACACGGATGAATCCGACTGCAATTACGTCCATAAACAGTAACAAGGTTCAGTGTGAGTATGACCTCTCTAAGGTTCTAGTGTGAGTATGACCTCTCTAAGGTTCTAGTGTGAGTATGACCTCTTTAAGGTTCTAGTGTGAGTATGACCTCTCTAAGGTTCTAGTGTGAGTATGACCTCTCTAAATTCATAGCATCATTTTTTTTTCACTACTTGCGACGGCAAGTCGAGTCCCTCAGAATTTTCAAGAGACGTCCTTCCAAACCACCCACTCAACTCTCGACGTCACAACCGAACGATGGCTGGGAATGTTTTTCCCCCCGTGTTTTCAGAGGTAATCCTTCCCCCCCCGCCCCCCCCCCGCCACCCCCCAAAAAAAACGCACTATTACAGTATGTACAATATTAGATCTCAATGCAGGTCGAATGTTTTTATTTTTAATTATAAATACAGTGGAATGACACAAGAGAGAATAGAAAGAAAGAAAGAAAGAAATATATCATGCGCAATCGGAATAAATCATTCAAAAATCCATATTGATAATATGAGAATGTAATTATGTTATGAATACAATGTATTGATATCACTCGAAATTGATCCATAAATGAATTATTATAACAATTATCAACATGGATAATGTTTTCATAGGTAATCCCCTTCCGCCCTCCTCCTCTTGATATTTGATTAGTTGTTTTTCCCTGTTTTCATAGGTAATTTCTCCCCTCCCCCCCC